GTTTGTGTGACCAAAAACAGAAGGTTCCTGCAGGCCCACACAAAGCTGAAGCTGATGAGGGGAGAGAAGAGTGGATGCTCTGAAGATGTTAAAGAGATGGTGTTGCTTCTGCTGAGTTACTTCGATGAAAATGAAGACGCAATGTTCTGCTACGTGGAGGACAGATGTTTGGCACGAGAAGTACAGGTGGACCAAGTCAACTTGACACACACCATCAATGTGTGTGGTAAGTTAAGTACTTTTAAATCCATCTTTGTGTCTTACTTTTTAATGTTTTTTTCCTCTATGTCCTTCCATCTTTCTCTTTTTTGATCTCCTACTTGACATAGTTTCCTCTGTTTTCCTTCTGCTTTCTTACATTTTATATTCTCCTTATCTTGCTCCGTTTTGGCACAAGTTCATATTGCACATTGCCTTTTTCTAATGTGTTTTTCCTTCTCTCTTTTAAATATCTTTATTAAAATTTAACGTTGTGTTAAAATTAAAAACTATATTAGCAACCTAAGCCCATTTCTTTATCTTTTTTTAGGACAGTCCTGCTTTGCTGCCAGACGGTTTATGTTGAGTTTGGATCGGAACATTGTTCACGACAACATCCCCTCCTTCATTTCTGCCCTTTGCATGATGTTTGGGAGCTATTATTGCTTCAACATTCACTACCCATCAGGCCTTGCATCAACTCTGGAATGTCTTCAGAGGTGAGTTACTCTTCTCTTTATTGGTTTGTCAGTCAGTCATCTTTTATCTGCACTTGTTACAGTTCCGGGGCGGTCCCCTATCTCCAGGGGTCAATGGGCAGGAGGTGAGGTACACCCTACACCTAGACAGGTTGCCAGTCCATCATACTTCTCTTTATTTGTTTGATACCAAATATTAAATATGTCTGGGGGGTGGGGGGAATCCTGCAAACTAAGAGTTGAGTGACAACTTGTAACTTTTTAAAACATTTTTAAGGTTTATCTACTGAAAAACCTAATAATTTTGTGCTCTGATATTTCTTCTTTTTTATATTGTTCCTCTAGGTGCTTCTTTGGAATCAACCAAGAGAAAGGCACTAAAGTTGAAAAGACCCGCACATCCCGTCTTCACGTTAATCCCAGAGTCCTCACGTTAATCCCAGAGTCCTCACGTGAATCCCAGAGTCCTCACGTTAATCCCAGAGTCCTCACGTTAATCCCAGAGTCCTCACGTTAATCCCAGAGTCCTCACGTTAATCCCAGAG